CCTATCCATGTAAAATTATGATGTACCATTCATTACCTGCCTTGGCTCTGAGAAGTTGCTTTCGTTTTTTCTTTTTTCAGTGACGTATGTAACTGGTTGTTTTTATAAATAAAGATCTTTTCCTAGACAAGCTTTGGTAACGTGTGATTGATGTGTCTGTGTGCGGCTGTGAGGAAGGACTCCTGTATCGTGTGGATAAACAACTAATTAAAGAGGGGAAATGCATCTGTGTAATTTTATCCCCTCACTCTTGGCAAATGCTAATAGTTGGTGTGTTTTGATATTCACTCCCTCACATCTTTAGATCTAATTAGTTGTGCTTTCAGTTGGGAAATGCTTTTTATTTAGGAGATTAACGTGTTTGTCTCTTAACTTAAGGCGCGAGCAGTTTGAGGTCTTGTGCTGAAGCCTTATTAAAGCCAGCTAACTTTCAAGCGCCACAGTAAAGCTGAAGGCCGGGCGAGCGTTGACGTTCTCGGCTTTGCTGTTTGCCTCCGGTTACACACAGAGCAGCATGTTGACAGGAGGCTAGTGTCCTGAAGCTTCCAAACATGTCAAAGATACACAGTTGGTTGTCTGTGGATACGACAGTGTTTAGGTGTTTCAAGTATGCAGCGCATCTGAAATGCATCATGGGCTGGCTGAGAAGCAGCTGCTGGATCACGAGGGCTATGAGCAGGTGTCGGTGTGAAAGTTTGATATTAGTTAAGCTATGATGTGCATGCGTCTGCTTGGAATATTAAAATTAACCTTAAATTGAATACACAAGGTGCAGGAAGACAGCCAGTGAGGGCATGTTAGTGGTGTTTTAGCACCGTGAGGGAGTTTATTCTATAGTCTGGAGGTTCACGTGCTTTTTGTAGTAGCTACTAAACAATTTATTCATTCTTGAATCTCTTTACTTTTAGTTGTAACAGTTTGAAGCACACCAGCATACACATAATACTCCTGCTTTCATCTCTCAATCTTAAGCAGTCATTTTCACTTTTAAAAGCCACAGAGTCCTGTTTACAAGGGAAGCTACAGATTAATGATTTATGAGAGATGTGCCAAAAACGCCTACATGTATTTTAAGTTTTGAGAACTGGGCCTGATTTGAGTTTTTAAGCATGTAAAAGGTATAAAGCCCCACAATAGACTGGCAACCTGTTCAGAGTGCATCCTGCCTATTAGCCAAGGGCAGCTGAGCTAGACTCCAATGCCCCCTTATCCTGAAATGTATAAGACAGATTGATGTGCAATTTGAGAATTTTGGTTTAAAAAAAAAAAAAAGCAAAACCTCTTTCACTTCTACTTATCTTCTTTAACAGGTCTTAACATTAGCTAGAAACAGCCATCACTGCTGAAATTGAACAAAAATGAAGCTAAACTGCAGAAGCAATGTGTGAAAACCTAAGCATGCTCCATGATTCAGTAGCTTGCAGAACCACCTTTAGCAGCAGTAAGTAGTTTCATCTGTCTCTCACGTCACTGTAACAAAATTTTAACCCGCTCTTCTTTACAGCATTGCTTCAATTCATTGAGGTTTGCAGACGTTCGTTTATACGCGGCTCTTTTAAGGTCCCACCACAGCACTTCAGTCAGGCTGAGGTTTGGACTCGATTCTTTACTTTTCAGCCATTCTGTTGTAGATTTGCTGCTGTGCTTAGTCAACTTGTGCCAAGCTATAGTTGCTGCACAGGCAGACTCACATTTGACTCTAGAATACTTTGGATCGCTTTAACATTTAAAATGCTGAGACCTGTGAAGTTTAAGATGTAGCTCTTGATGAGCTTTATTGCAGTTTCTCAGAGCACTGCAAGGTCTGATCTTGAGTTAAGTCTCGTGGGACGTCCGCTCCTGGGAGGATTGGCAGCTTTCTTTAATGTTTCTCACTTGTGAATAAATTATTAAATTGTTTGGAAATGACCTGATGAGCCTTCCCAGATTGATGGGCAGCAACAGTCATTTCTCTTCAATTATTATATACATATTGATTTATTCTTTTTATTTACTCGCTCAGCTGCAAAGGAGGAATCATGAAGGAGATCTTCTGCTACAGAGCTCTTAGACTTTGTTCACAGCTATAAAGCTATAAAGGAAAGAATCACAGTGACAAATGAGTCCTGAAATGTATATGTGGACATGTGAGTGCTGCTTTAAGACATACTTTCGACACGGAGCCCTGTGAAGTTCCCTTGCCAAAATTAGCAGGCTCCTCATTCATGATAGGAAAGGCAATATAACCGGACAGTTCCATGTAAATATCGCAAAGAATTTCCAGTTTATGAAGGTAATCTTATAGCAACATTTATAGCTGAACTCCCTGCTTACAGCTTTAATATTAGAGCTGTAATTAACTGCACAGCTGTTGCGAGCAGCTATCTGACTCAGATGTGCGCCTGTCTGGGTTACTCACTGCGTGTGTGTAATGCTTGCAACCTGTGCAGCTGGTGCAGACACACACACACCGCTCTTTAAACCTGAGACCACCAAACGCAGCAGATTCTCCCCCTCTCCTTCATGGTGTCCTATCATTCGGTGTCATTTCTATTTACGGCTCCTCCGCTGTTCCTCGTTTCCTCTCTAACGCTCAGATAGAAGCACCGGCATTTAACTCCTGCACACCATATCGGAGGGGGAAAAAAACCCGCTGGGAGGACCAAGGGAATACGGTACGTGATCGAGAGAGGAATGTAGAGCTGGATTCATCACAGGGACACCACACCACTGGGATTTTATGTGTGGCTTTACGCTTCCTTCCTTATACTCCCTAGAGGTGATCTGTGGAGGACTATGCGTGACCATACAAACAGATAGAGCAACGGACCGGCTTTGATTTGGCTCATGGATACACTCAGCGTCCCTGGTCCATCCACTTCGAACTCGGATAACGAGTCCCCTGAACATACTCCAGACCCAGATTCCTCCCGCCACACCACCCACACTGGTGGGCAGAGCGGGCTCGGTGGCCTGGGATATGGGATCAGGGTAGCGTGGCACCACCTGAGGCCCTTCATCCCCTTCTTTCTCATCAGTTTCATGGTGGTAGCTCTCGTCTACCTGATGCAAGCCATCATCTACGGGGGGCCCTTCAAAGACCCGCTCTTCTTTGTCAAGTTTAATGAGCGCTGGCCACGACCGACTCCACCACGAGTGGACACAACGTCCTCTACCGAGCTTTTTGGTATGATCACCCCCTCGTCATTTGAGGAAGTCCATGTTGACGTGCACAGAGACAACAGCACAACGTGAACTGGAATGTAGAAAAGAAGGACACCAGGGGGACCACACGCTGCTCTTGGATTAAAAGAGCACATACTAATATTTGAGTGGGAGACATTTCTCTGCCAGTCCTCTGTCCCTCTTAAAATAAAATATAATGGATGAAATTTTTATTTCAGCAGCTGAATCAGGTTTCTTTAAAATCCATTTAAATATTCAGTGTGCTCCAGCTTTTGTTTCTCTTATGAAACAAATAAAAGTGAAAAAAATATAACATTTTTAAACTGCAATTATTTTTTACAACTTTTGGAAGATTTTGTTATTTGCACTGAAGGTTCTTGCATGGCGCTCAAAATGTATAAATCACTACCAGTTTTATACATTTTTTTTAAAGCAGAAAATGTGTCTGGGCGATCTGTAGAGTGAAGCTCTTATGATTTTAAATGCTTGGCCTGGTTTTCTCTCTGCACTGAACAGCACATGTGCTTTTCCTGTACGTTAAATAAAGTGTCAGTCGTCCGAGGTGGAAAAGTCAAACAGTGATGTTCCAGCATCGCAGTCCTGTAGTCTCCTTTTTCCTGATTTGTGTTACTATCCCAGCTCTATGCAAACACTGTCCAGGAAGCACTTAGAGGGAATTTATTACTCTAAAGAATGTAACGTTTGAACAAAACCAGCTTGAATTGTCTAACTCAGGCTTCTGAAGCCTCATTTTGACCTCATCTTAACGGCAGAGTTTATTTTTTTAGACAAAGTAAAAGGTGTAAATTTTGTCCCCCGTCACCTTCAGCCTTTCACAGCTGAAAATGCTTTGTAGACTTGAAAAAATATTAATCTATCCTTTAACCTTCCAGTGGAGTTAATGTACTTTTCTACCTCTCACCACTAAAATCCAGCTCCTCTGTTCATAAGTAGAAAATATTCATGATTCCCTCCCTGAGTGTTTCCCCTATAAATGCATCTCTTGTACTCATTACTCATTGCTATCACTATATATAAATATATGCTTAGAGAGCAAGAGATGTAGGATTACATCCTACTCCAAAACCTACTGGTGGATAAAAATAATTTTATATTGATATGCATACTAGTCAAGGTCCCTCATAAAAATTGTTTAGCTCACATTAGATGGTGAAAAAGTTGAGTGGTAACTTTTAACTGTTATTTATTGTGTGTCTGTGCCATTTTAAAATGTCATGTAATGTAATAACAACTGAACAAATCCATGTGTTAAAGAGTGTAATCAACCGTGGTTGAATTGTATTCTTATTATTCTTATT